TGTGTGGTATGTATTACTATCCTTATGTCAAACTGATAGACTATTGCCTTGAATGATTTGGATCCTAAGTTCATGCCATGAGTTACAATAAATGATCAAGAACATGCTAGGTATTATTCAACGTCAAAATTGAACTACTTGAGGATGAGTAGGAATTAAGCATAGGGGTGTTGATACATCTCCGACATATCTATAATTTTGAATTGTTTGATGCTAGTATATTATCATTCTTACATAATTTGGCCATCATTTATATCATTTAATATTATTTTTCTGGACTAACATATTAATCCAGTGCCCAGTGCGAGTTGTTGTTTTCTACTTGTTTTTTGTTTTTACAGAAAATCGATACCTACGAAGGTCCAAACACGACGAAACTTTTTGACATTTTTTTGGAACAGAAGACACCCTGAAGCTTCGGGAGGGTGACCAAAAGATGGACCAAGGGTCCACAAGACCAAGGGAGCAACCTGGGGGCTGCGCCCTGCAGGCTTGTGGGGCCCTTGTTATTTCATTCGCCCTATTTCATAGCCTATAATTCACATATATTCCAAACCCTCAGAGGAAGACCCGAAGTAATTTTATCTCCGTCACAAGCCTCTCTTCTGACCAGAGCTCTTCTGGAGGGGGAAGCCATTGTGGTGGCAATCTTCATCAACCTTTCCTTCATGATGATGTGTGAGTAGTTCCTTCAAGACCTACGGGTTCATAGTAGTAGCTCTCTCCTCTCTCTCTCTCTCTCTCTCTGATCTTTAAAACCATGTTATCATTTGAGATCAAACTGAAGGAAATATGTCCTAGAGGCAATAATAAAGTTATTATTTATATTTCCTTATATCATGATAAATGTTTATTATTCATGCTAGAATTGTATTAACCGGAAACTTAGCACTTGTGTGAATACATAGACAAAACATAGTGTCCCTAGTATGCCTCTACTTGACTAGCTCGTTAATCAAAGATGGTTATGTTTCCTAAGCATAGACATCTGTTGTCATTTGATGAACGGGATCACATCATTCTAATGATGTGATGGACAAGACCCATCCGTTAGCTTAGCATTATGATCGTTACAGTTTCATTGCTACTGCTTTCTTCATGACCTATACACGTTCCTCAGACTATGAGATTATGCAACTCCCGAATACCGGAGGAAGACCTTGTGTGCTATCAAACGTCACAATGTAACTGGGTGATTATAAATATGCTCTACAGGTATCTCCGAAAGTGTTTGTTGGGTTGGCATAGATCGAGATTAGGATTTGTCACTCCGTGTATCGGAGAGGTATCTCTGGGCCCTCTCGGTAATGCTTATCACTATAAGCCTGGCAAGCAATGTGACTAATGAGTTAGTTGCGGGATGAAGCATTACGGAACGAGTAAAGAGACTTGCCTGTAATGATATTGAACTAGGTATGATGATACCACGATCGAATCTCGGGCAAGTAACATACCGATAACAAAGGGAACAACGTATGTTGTTATGCGGTTTGACCGATAAAGATCTTCGTAGAATATGTAGGAGCCAATATGAGCATCCAGGTTCCGCTATTGGTTATTGACTGGAGATGTGTCTCGGTCATGTCTACATAGTTCTCGAACCTGTAGGGTCCGCACGCTTAACGTTCGATGATGATTTGTATTATGGGTTATGTGTTTTGATGACCGAAGTTTGTTCGGAGTCCCGGATGAGATCACAGACGTGACGAGGAGTCTCGAAATGGTCGAGACATAAAGATTCAAATATTGGGAGGCTACATTCGGACATTGGAAAGGTTCCGAGTGATTCGGGTATTTTTCGTAGTACCGGAGAGTTATGGAAATTCGCCAAGGGAAGTCAATGGGCCTTATTGGGCTTTAGTGGAGAGAGGGAAGAAGGGCCACGAGGTGGCGCACGCCTCCCCCCTGCCCAAACCGAATTGGATAAGGGGTGGGGGTGCTCCCCCCCTTTCCTTCTCCCTCTCCCTCCGTTCCTTCTTTCCTACTCCGAAAAGGAAAGGGAGTCCTAATAGGACTTGGGAGTCCTAGTAGGACTCCCTACACCTGGCACGCCCCTAGGAGGGTCGGCCTCTCTCCCTCCCTCCTTTCTATACGTGGGCAGGGGGCACCCCAAAGATACACAAGTTTCTCTTAACCGTGTGTGGTGCCCCCCTCCTCAGTTACACACCTCGATCATACCATCGTAGTGCTTGGGCGAAACCCTGCGCCGGTAGCATCATCATCACCGTCACCACGCCGTCGTGCTGACGGAACTCACGCTCGTCCTCAACTGGATCAAGAGCACGAGGGACGTCATCGAGCTGAACGTGTGCTGAACGCGGAGGTGCCATACATTTGGTACTTGATCGGTTGGATCGCGAAGAAGTTCGACTACATCAACCGCGTTATTGAAATGCTTCCGCTTTCAGGCTACGAGGGTACGTGGACACACTCTCCCTCTCGTTGCTATGCATCACCTAGATAGATCTTGCATGATCGTAGGATTTTTTTTGAAATTACTGCGTTACCCAACATAAACTGATGTAATTCTTGTGGTGTGTTTGTTGGGATCGATGAATTGTGGATTTATGATCAGATTGTTCATTGATTTATACTGAATCCCTTGAAGTTTCTTTGCTGCATAATTAAATAGGTTTATATTTCTCTCCGATCTATCCTTCTACATTGGCCAAGTGTAATTTATTTATCTTTAGTGGGAGAGGTGCTTTGTAGTAGGTTCAATCTGGCAGTGGTTTCTATGTCGCAGTGACAGAAAGGGACAAGACACGTCTTTGTATTGTTGCCACTAAGGATAAAATGATGGGGTTTAATTTTAATAGTAGATTTTATCTTGTCTACATCATATCATCTTGCTTATTGCATTACTCCGTTTCTTGCAAACCTAATACTTTGAGATGCATGCTGGATAGCGGTCTTGGGGTGGAGTAATAGTAGTAGAGGTTGGTAAGTTTAACGGTCTAGTTATCACGGACATAATGCCTATAAGAGATTATGCCATGAATGATCATACTTATAAATTGCTAGTTTTCTGTCAATTGCCCAACAGTAATTTTTCTACCATGCCACTACATTCTTTGAGAGAGATGCCACTAGTGAACGTATGGCCCCTTGGTCCATTCTCCATTAATACAAAGCTCTTGTAGTTTACTCTATTATTTTCATTTTCCTATTTGTTGTTTACCATTATCACTATCTATTTGTTTTTAATCTTGTAACTAGCAAGACAAGCGAACTGACTACCCACTTGCCAATTTGGCTGCAAGCATTTGTTTGTGATTGTGTGTAGGGGTTGTTTACATTGTTAGCTTGGTGAATATTATCGGTTCAATAAACCTTGGTTTATAATTGAGGAAAATAATTTCTATTGCTGTGCCACATGATCCTTCCTCTACAGGGTATCCAACAACTCCTACGGGAGTAG